AGTAGTTCTCTTGTTTAGAGTAGCTATCACATCGTGTACCACTTGTGAAGATTAAGTTTAACGTGTACCACCGGCGGTACACGTGGCACGGAACGTGTTAAGAAGCACAGAAACTATTTGAAAATTCAACTGATCGATTGAAAAAAATTCACAGGTTTTTGAAGTGGATCACGATAATAAGCGGCACATGCATGAGCGGAGCAGCCGTCACGATGTTCTTCAAGAACAAGGACAAAGGCTCGATGGACGTGACTAAGGTAACACCACAGACGCAAAGTGGGAAGGATGGTGAGAAGAAATGGAACCAGATGAACATCAGTACGATACAGAGTGCAGCGGTGCCGCCTAATCTCGACGAGAATTAAACCTATCGAGAGTCACTGTTGTTGACTTTGTATTCTCTTTAACATGTGCTTGATGAAAGTATTGCGAATGATTGCAAGCGGGAGAATGTTGTTGAACGTCGCGATTTGGAGAAGTCAGCCAATGACGTTGATAATAGTGTCGCGTTTTAAATGTGTGTCGTGTTCAGAGAATGATCCTAGCGTCTCATTCGTTTGGAAACTTCTGTTCTTTCTTTTAGAAAAATGGCGGACCGAGCTTGCACTCTTCGAGGCAAAGGAAATCCTTTCCTTAGATCATTAACTGCAAAGGTTCGATTACTTATGAAACTTTTATTTAACGATCAATACTGGAATTAAATCGGCATTGAAATTTGCACGTAACTTAAATAATAGAATCCAAATGACCATGAGTGGTTAATTTAATGTGTAATGGAAATTTCAGATTATTCGAAAGAAGTTTAGATTTTCAAAATTTTTGCATGATTATTTAATTTTTAATTTTTAATTGATTATTCGCTTGATTTCAAATATTTTGTCTCTTCTATGAGTATGAATTGATAATTAGGGGAATCGGTGAAGCTTGGATCATGCTTTAAACAAGATTTATATTATACGTAAGACTATCAATCGCTTATATTTTCTCAATTACTTCAGGAGAATGTTACGAGTACAGTATTACTCGACGACTAATAGGAAAATTTGAAAAGAAACTTACTTCGTGTTGATTTCATTTTCAAGATCTTTTAGAAAATTATTATCAATAATTTCGAAGTCAGTGTATTGAAATAAATTCACTGTCAACAGGTTTGTCGTTACTTTTCTTATCAATTATGAGTTTAATGTTCCATCAATTGCAACATTGAATTTCATTACTTCGATTAAATTTTACTATTTTTATTTTAATTAATATGATTAATTAATTATTTCTCCCACCTCCCACCTGCAACCTTTCATTGATTGCAATTTCATGACATTGGGATATTTCGCATGAATGTATTTTTATTACAGTATATATTATTTACTAATTCTAATAAGTGCACTTGTATCCATGTGTGGCGTATTTCGCCGGAAATTTTGACTATTTTTATCTATTTTAAGGAGACCGTTTTAAAACGGAGCGCGTTTGTTCATTTGAAATATGTAAATCTCAGAGTGGCTCAATCTGGTTGCACAGACTACTAATTGTAAGATAAAATGTAAGTCACGAAATAACAGGTTAATGAATGACTTTGTTACATCGTCATAGCGTAATAAAACGATAATATTGTCAACTGGAAATGTTATTTA